TGAATTAAGGCCCCTTTCTAATCCTAACTAAAGATCCAAGAATCTGTGAAGGGAGGGATGTGATTTTGCAATCCAAAATCCTAATTATAGAAAAAAAAATTGTTATTCAACAAAAAGAATGGGGAAAAAAAAGATTTTTTTTTTAACAAGGGGAGAGGTACTCAGTTGATGATTATGTTCATTCCGATCCTAGCTTCTTGGTGGAAAATTTGTCTTGTGAGTTTCTTAAAACTGTCCAACTCTGAAGCAAATTCATATAAAAAATGTTAATTCGGTGTGCTGCGGATGTGTTCTTTCTGTCTCAGCCTTGTTATATTGGGCAAACTTATGGGAAACACACAGACAAAAGGCTTTCAAATTTAAACAATAAAAACTGTCATGAGGCCATCAAACCCATTGTGGTGACCACATAAACACTGGCATAATGTGTCTGATGGTCTGAAACATCAGCACCCTGAAGTCACAGACTGATATGTGTGTAAATGCCTCAAAGTTAAGACCATTAACAGTTTCCCCAGATTCGGGTTTGATCTCTAAAATTATTTTCAAAAAGGAAACACATGTGAGCCTATTTGAAAGACGTGGACAGCCGAACCCTGTTCGCACCTGGCGTGTGAACTCTGGCTCTGACTTCAGCCAGTGAGCAAGTGAAATTCAGGGGGGCAACGGGGTGACTCCTGGGACTGTCCCTTTGCGGTCCTCCTCTCCATTCTCTCTGGCTCCCCCCATTTCTCACCTCCCACAGATGGTGCAGGGGACTGGAGCCTGGGGTTTTGCTCCGCCTTCGTGCACAGCAATTTGACTTGCTTTGTTTTTTGTTCTGTCCCTCTCGAAAGGGTAAAGATGTCCCCACATTGTTGCAGGACTGTACTTCTTTATGCCCCGACAATCATGAGACAGCCTGCGAGACTGAAATCCTCTCACCCTGTCCCCTACCCCCGCTCGAGAAAAAAAAAAAGACAGAGCTGGGTTTGTTCCGGAGCCCGGGCGGAGCAAGACTTGGAGAGAATTCCTCTTTTCTGGGGCTGTTGGACGTCTCGATTTTTGAAGATTTATATCAAAAGTGACAAAAGCAGTGTTATCAGAAGGCCCTGGCGCTGTTTTCAAACAAATGCAAAAACAAACAAACAAACGCTGATGCCGATCGCTGGGCCCCAGACCACCTCCCTGATGGCTACTGTGTGCTCTGCCTTGGACTTGGGACATCTTCTAAATTTAGGATGGGCTAAGAGTGAAAACAAACTTCCGGGTTCCTCTTATTTTTTCTCCAAACTAGAAGGCACCCACTCCCAATTATTCATGCAGCATCCTGAGGAATAATCAGAAGTGGTACAAAATGATAACTTATCACTGTAGATAAAGCTTCCCTAAAAAAGAAAAAAAAAAAGACTTTTCTTCAAAGAAAGGTAAAATTATATATATATATATATATATATATATATATATATATATATATATATAAATTTCCTTGCAACTCAGCAATCTGAAGCTGTGAGTTGTGAGTCTTATCGGATGGTTCTGAGGAGTAAGGCCCCAGAGCCTGGCTGTGTGTTTTCCTGACACGGAAATCAAACGGCTGAAGGTTGTCACTCATGTATTTTCGTCTTCCAACCTATGTCAGTTAACTACTGACAGGCAAAAAATAGACATACCCGTGCAGCAAGCCGACTTTTAAATTTATTGATCGGCCTAGAATACCGGAGGACTACGTTTTAGGAAGCCAAGCGTGTGTGAGTACGGAAGTAAGTTGGCCTTCACAAAACCAACAGCAACAGCAAAAGCCGCCCCCGGCCCCTCCCGCACCGCACTTGGGAACCTCTGCGTGTGTCACAGCAACTTCAGTTATTTAGTGGAGGGAAATGCTAGGAATGCAGCTACTGTGACAGCTGTGCCCCGTGTTTGTGAGGGTGGCTGCCATGTGCCCTCTGCTCGCTGCGCTTAGCAGGAAAGCTGGTGGCTTGGCAAGGGGAGGTCCTGTTTAAGAACAGAAGGATCTAGAATCGAGGCCACTAAATAAAAACTACCGGGGGGAAAGGTTTAAGGGCGAAACGAGGAGAGCTTCAGGATCCTATATTCAGTAATAAATATAGGGCATTTCCCCCACGCAGCGGCCTGTGTTGAAAGGGGCCCGGGTGGTTATGGCATGGAGACAGATAAATAAATACGATATTGAGACATCATTTCCTCCCCAAGATCAGGAAGTGGAATCGCTGCCTATTTGATGCCACTCTATTAATGTGTCAGATGCGTTGTAAAAAGTTATTGCATGGTTTTGAGAAAGGAAACATACAAGGAGCCGGGAAATTAAAGGGAAGTCATCTCGTGAATGTTTGGGAACAGAAAAGGGGGAGGGGGGAAAAAAGCACACAAGGAGGGTGTGTATTTAACTTCACTTTGTATTTTGCTACACATTGTTTTCATTTATGGCTGAGTCTGATAAATAAACACATTTGACATCACTGATACATACAACATTATCTGGGGCCTACGAGAAAGCCAGGCTCTGCTAGAGTTTCTGCCCATGGCATCTGCTTGTGTGTGTGTGTGGGGGGGGGGGGGGGGGGGGGGGGGGAGTCCAATATTTTTTTCTCCTTGGTGAAATTATCTGCCAGAGAAACAATGAAGCGTGAAAAAGTGCTATTGAGAGTGTATGTCTACATATGCTTTACAACTGCTAGCTGGTACCTTTGGGATTCTTCCCTTCCTATAAATGTATATGTATCTATGTTTTACATTTCAGTGGGTTTTTAAAAACGAATATTACATTTGAAAACAACTGCGCCTATTCCAGTTTCGAACATCTTAAAGCGACAAGCACCGGTTCGCTTTGCTATGGGTCAGTATAGACGACCCTCAGACAAGTGGCATAATTAATTAATACGGAGGAGGTTATATATTTAATAGCCTTTTTCTCTAACGCAAACATTTTTTTTTTTTAAGGAAGGAGACTAAACAGAAGTCAGGGGCAGGTTGTATCCTACCACTGCAGATAACACTACTGCTACTGACAATATATTTTTAATGCACAGTTCTCACATAAATTTCATTTCATGAAATACACTGGTAAGGACATGTTGCTGGGGCTTCCAATATGTGGCGTATCCCACTGATGGCTCCAACTTGCGAGTGGGCTCAGTTCTGTAATTGGAATGAAAGGAATTTTAACACTATTTAGACAAAGACTCACATGCAGTGTAAAGGGAAAGCTAGATTTCATTATATATGTATTTAATTTAGGGACTTATTTGTAACAGGTACACTCAGGCAGGATTTAGGATTTCTTTGTTTAAAAAGCATGTATTTGTGTTCACCGCTCTACTTCGAAGTTTTCAGTAACGATTATTTCCAAAAACACCTTTCGCTAGGCGCTAACCTTCCCTTAAAGCCAGCCACCAAAACCCCATTTTTTGTCAGCACCCCTCTACTTGCCTTCTCATGTTTTGGGCCAGAGCTTTCTTATTATATTGAACTGCCTGTAGGGTTCTATCAAAATCCTTAATTGTCACCCAACTGTATTTTTCTCCCAAGTCCCTTTCCTCATGCGATCATCACAATAACTCCATCCTGAATGTCACTCTTATTTTAAGAATGTGTTTGCCTAAAATCTGTCATCTGATGCTGAGCTTTTTTGCATCAGTGACATCTTCATTTCTGCTTCTTCAGGGGGAGACGGCCTATCTCGGAGTCGGGATCAGAGGGAAGAAGAAAAAACATCTCTGAAGCAGAGAGCAACTAACATCTAGCCCATGAAGTGGTTTACTATTAGGCAAAATTAAATGTGTATTTGGGAGCCCTATCTAAACTGGCACAGAAAGAAAGGTCAAAATGTACAGGGTATGTGCTGTTTATGGGGTAAAAAACAAAACAAAACGGGGGGTGGGAGGTGGGGAGGAAGACAAGATGATAAACTGGCCAGAACTCATCAGCGCCAAGCACAACCTGTTTTCTTCAAAATAAGGCCTTCGGTCAGAGTTGCAATATTATCTTAAAAAAGAAACCGAAAACGAAATAAAGCAAAAGTCATGGTGTTTAGCTCTATTTTCAAAACAGTATTGGCTTTGTCTAACATTCTGTTAGTGTTAGAATTCTAGGGGAAGTTGACCAAGAGTTGCACGAATTTGTGTCATTTTAAAATAGGTCAGTGCTGTTAGGGAAGGGAGCACAAGACTTTCCAAATGATCCACAGCATGTTTTGGGCGGTAGATACCAATAAATCAAAGCACAGCCTTTATTCCACCAGGACATTATTTTGGGGAGTGTATTTCAGGAACGAAGGTGATCTGAAATCATTACCAGCTCATCTTAGTGGCGAAGCCCTCTGTTAAATATTTACCGGGAAATATGATTTAATAACAGAGCTTAAACCCAGATATGTACTTGGAGTTCTGTAAGCGAGGGGTGGATTTTTCTTTTTCCTATTGAAGAGAAATGACCTTCAAAGTTAAAACACAAACAACTTGGATTTGTCCAAAGTGTTGATGTTAAATCTTGTCAGGCCTTGCTAACAAGAAAATCCTGGCGTGTAAGGGAAGAAGGGCAAATAATCAATTTTAGCCCCAGAGTGAGCATTGCTGGTCTTTGCCATTAAATGCACGGGCACCCAAAGCCACCTCTGTCATGCCTAATTTTCCTGGCTTATTCCTCTCTCCATGGGCGCACTGCTGGCTCAGATGCTGAGGCGATGCTGTGAAGGGCCCCGCTCGATGGCTGGGAATGTTGTTTGTTTTCACCAGAGGGCACTGATAGCTCAACTCCTTTGAAAACTTTGGGGGCTGGGGGTGTAAAATTTGAGAGGTCATAATTTATATTTATATTAAATATTGCTAATTATTAAAAGGAACTGGCCTCCTCCCACCTCACCAAAACAGCCTAGGCTTCACCCTGAGTTCTTGCCTCCCTACTCCTCCATTAATCCTTCCTCTGGAGAAAAGGGTGTATTTTACACTTGTAATGCGGTGTTGGGCCCAGTTAAACTGTACACTAAGAAACTGAGTACAGAATCAAAAAAAAAAATGCAGTTTATTATTGTAGATTATTCTTTCTCTTGATATAACCAGAATTGAAAATGAAAGAAAAGCACATAGGAACATCACGCGTGGTTAGTTAGTAACTCAAGATATAAAACAATTTTGCACAGCAAAATATGTAAAAGAAAAGTAACTGACAAGATTTTTTTATATTTATTGTGGTAAGATTTACTTTTCATTTTTTTTTTTTTAAAGACAGGATGTCAGTCCCTGAAAATAACATTTACTGATTATTGCCTTTAAAACTGTGGATTTTTTTTTTTTAAGTTACAGAAAATCCAGTTCTGCACCACAATACAACTGTAAAAAAATCTGCATCATTTTAAAACTGTGCAGTAATGCCATTTTTATAACTGCATAAATTTTATTAGCGTTCTAAACAGTTTTGCATTTTTTTTTGTATTATATGCTTGCAGGTTATATCTTAGTGCAATTCAGTCCCAAATACTTTAATTTTGAAAAAAAAAAAAACACATACATTTTGAATGTAAAATACCCCTACAGATATAAACAGGGGTGTTTCCCCTTTTAATACTTTGGTTTTCAATACAGTCAGTGGTATAGCAAAGACTACACATACCCAACTTATATTTAAGTTGCAAGCACATGCTTGTATAAGCTACTTTTTAAACAGTCCCCTTGCAAACTCTACCCCCCTTAACATCACAACAGTAAACAATTTAGTGCATCAATCTTTTAAAAAATCTACAGCTAAACAGACCTAACTCTTTCAAATTTATCTATAACATTCCTTTATCTGTAGCATACATTTTAACTGGGCTAACAGATTATAAAAACTAGAATTAAATTATATACTAGAAACCCATAGCATTCCACATTTGACAATGACCAAAAGCAAAAAGAAAAAAAAAATAACATAAAAATAAAACAAACAAAAATAACGGGGCAGATTTCTTTCTTTAAAAAATAAATTTTAGACTGCTTTCGGAAACAGCACAATTTGAGTCCCCAAAGTGGGCTGTCATTCTTACTAAAAAGAAAACATTAGGAGTTCTTTAATGTTTGCCATTTAAATTTTTTAACCCATTCTGGCATCTTTGACAAGGAATGCCTTCAGTGCATTTACAATGGGAGGCTGAAGTTCTGAGTAACTCAGAGCAGTTTTGGAGCAGATGCAAACTTTCATGGGAAGAAGGCTCTCTAGGGTTGCACTTTTTCGTTCTGAACTCAAAAAAGTCATGAGACAATAAAACAAAAGTATGAATGCCATGCCCTAAGTCTTTGAACGTCCATTTCCAAGCCAAAAGGAAAAAAAGAAAAGAAAAAATAATTATACCATACATGTCCAGCATGCAGGCTTTTTTTTTTTTATTAATATAATGTCTCTTTTCCATAAAGTTTTTGAAACAGTTATAGTTCATCGTTGCTTAGAGAAAGTAGCAAGCATAATAATGCATGAGATGAGAATGAGTTTTTTTAATGGCAGACTAAACTCTCAGATTGGCATCATAAGGCCAAAACTCACAAGTCACACCCAGAAGGTTGATGCAGGCTTGATTGTGGCAGGTTCATGAGGATTTTTTTCTCTATTTTAGCATAACAGTGCTAAAAAAAACCGATGGAACTCAGCACGCTGCAAGTCTATAACATTTCACATTTTTTTCCTTTGCAAGCTCAATCTCACATGAAGAACTCAGGTGGAGAAAAACAAAACAAAACACCTTAGCTTTTTTTCTCTTTTATCTCAGAAGAGATGGGTGGAGAAGGCGTGAGCGTAGAGGTTGGAAAAAAAGGTCAACACAGCAAGCTCCAAAAAGTAGAATTAAAAAAAAAATCCAAACAAAATAAAAACACACACAGAAAATGGAACACCAGCTCATGAACTGAAGAAGAAAAAGAAAAAAATATGTAAATGATGCAGGCTTCAAAGGTGAGCATGAAGAACTCTGCTGAGATCTTTGAACATTGTGCAAGAGGGAGGGGGGGCATAAAAAAACAAACTACCAAATTATGGAGATTTTCAGATTGGCAATCCATGAGCCAGACATCCATTCCCTCCCCAATTTAAAAACAGCCACCACCGCCACCAACTCGGAGCAGGGTGTGTGTGTGTGTTTGGGACATCTGGGGGGGGGGGGGGGCAACTTGGTAGGGGAGGGGGCGAGGTGGTGGCCAGCATGGCTCTGGAACTAGCAAGCCCACTCCCGAGTCGGACCCCCACGGAGCACTTATCAAGGTGGCTAGCTGGGATCGCGTGTCAGACTCACATGAAAAACTCGGGAGAGGACGGGTTGTCGCTGCTCGAGCCGTTTTCTCGGAAGCCGCTGCTCACCAACTTCTCGTATTTCTCCTTGTACGCGTCCCTCTCGCGCACCAGCCTGGAGATCTCCTGCTTGAGGTGGTCGACCTGCTGCAGCAGCTGGTTCTTCTCGGACTCCAGGACGTGTCTCTGCTGCACCCTCTTGAAGCGGCAGGACTGGGCATAGCCGCGGTTTTTCAGGGTCCGCCTCTTCTGCTTCAGCCGGATCACCTCCTCCTTGCTGACCCCGCGCAGCTGCCGGTTCAGCTCGCGCACCGACATGGTCACCAGCTGCTCGTCTGAGAAGCGGTCGTCGAAGTGCAGGCCGCCCGCGGCGTGTGTGCGGGTGCAAGGGCGCTCTCGTCTCCCCCTGGCTCCTCGCGGGTATTGTTGTGCAATGCTTCGGTAGCCTCCGTTTCATTACGGCCTCAAACACCTGTGCTCTCATCTACTAAACCATAGCGACAACATCCAGGAAACTCAGAGGGCGAGCTCTATGTGAGAGGGGGCCAGAGGGCCGGGGTGGAAGGGGTGGAAAGAAAACGCGTTCTCCT